TGTTGTTGTTGAGTGACACTGTTGTTGTTGTTGACACTGTTGCTGACACTGTTGTTGTTGTTACTGCTGACACTGTTGTTGTTGTTGTTACTGACACTGTTGTTGTTGTGACTGACACTGTTGTTGTTGTTGTTTACTGACACTGTTGTTGTTACTGACACTGTTGTTGTTGTTGTGTTGTTGCTGACACTGTTGTTGTTGTTGTTGTTACTGACACTGTTGTGTTGTTGTTACTGACACTGTTGTTGTGACACTGTGTTGTTACTGACACTGTTGTTGTTGTTACTGACTGACACTGTTGTTGTTGTTGTTGTTGTTACTGACTGACTGTTGTTGTTGTTGTTGTGCTGACACTGTTGTTGTTGTTGTTACTGACACTGTTGTTGTTGTTGTTGCTGACACTGTTGTTGTTACTGACACTGTTGTTGTTACTGACACTGTTGTTGTTACTGACACTGTTGTTGTTGTGAGTGCTGACTGTTGTTGTTGTTGACACTGTTGTTGTTACTGACACTGTTGTTGTTACTGACACTGTTGTTGTTGTTACTGAGTGCTGACACTGTTGTTGTTGTTGTTACTGACACTGTTGTTGTTGTTATGACACTGTTGTTGTTGTTGTTACTGACACTGTTGTTGTTGTTGTTGACACTGACTGACACTGTTGTTGTTACTGACACTGTTGTTGTTGTTGACACTGTTGTTGTTACTGACACTGTTGTTGTTGTTACTGACACTGTTGTTGTTACTGACACTGTTGTTGTTACTGACACTGTTGTTGTTGTTACTGACACTGTTGTTGTTGTTACTGACACTGTTGTTGTTGTTACTGACACTGTTGTTGTTGTTGTTACTGACACTGTTGTTGTTGAGTTACTGACACTGTTGTTGTTGTACTGACACTGTTGTTGTTGTGACGACACTGTTGTTGTTACTGACACTGTTGTACGTTGGGGCTGACACGACTAGGTTGTTGTTACTGACACTGTTGTTGTTACTACGACACTGTTGTTGTACGACCAGTTGCTGAGGTACGACCAGTTGTTGTTGACTGACACTGTTGTTGTTGTTACTGACACTGGGGCTGAGGTACCCAGACGACTAGGGGCTGAGGTACGACCAGGGGCTGTGGTACGACCAGGGGCTGAGGTACGACCGGGGGCTGAGGTACGACCAGGGGCGGAGGTACGACCAGGGGCTGAGGTACGACCAGGGGCTGAGGTACGACCAGGGGCTGAGGTACGACCAGGGGCTGAGGTACGACTAGGGGCTGAGGTACGACAAGGGGCTGAGGTACGACTAGGGGCTGAGGTACGACCAGGGGCTGAGGTACGACTAGGGGCTGAGGTACGACAAGGGGCTGAGGTACGACCAGGGGCTGAGGTACTACCAGGGGCGCCTCTCACCCTGGCCCCAGGGGCGGAGGTACGACCAGGGCGCCTCTCACCCTGGCCCCAGGGGGCGGAGGTACGACCAGGGCGCCTCTACGACCCTGGCCCCAGGGGCGGAGGTACGACCAGGGGCGCCTACGACACCCTGGGTACCAGGGGCGGAGGTACGACCAGGGCGCCTCTCACCCTAGCCCCAGGGGCGGAGATACGACCAGGGCGCCTCTCACCCTGGCCCCAGGGGCGGAGGTACGACCAGGGCGCCTCTCACCCTGGCCCCAGGGGCGGAGGTACGACCAGGGCGCCTCTCACCCTGGCCCCAGGGGCGGAAGTACGACCAGGGCGCCTCTCACCCTGGCCCCAGGGGCGGAGGTACGACCAGGGCGCCTCTCACCCTGGCCCCAGGGGCGGAGGTACGACCAGGGCGCCTCTCACCCTGGCCCCAGGGGCGGAGGTACGACCAGGGGCGCCTCTCACCCTGGCCCCAGGGGCGGAAGTACGACCAGGGCGCCTCTCACCCTGGCCCCAGGGACCAGGGCGCCTCTCACCCTGGCCCCAGGGGCGAAGGTACGACCAGGGCGCCTCTCACCCTGGCCCCAGGGACGGAGGTACGACCAGGGCGCCTCTCACCCTGGCCCCAGGGGCGGAGGTACGACCAGGGCGCCTCTCACCCTGGCCCCAGGGGCGGAGGTACGACCAGGGGCGCCTCTCACCCTGGCCCCAGGGGCGGAAGTACGACCAGGGCGCCTCTCACCCTGGCCCCAGGGGCGCCTCTCACCCTGGCCCCAGGGGCGGAGGTACGACCAGGGCGCCTCTCACCCTGGCCCCAGGGACGGAGGTACGACCAGGGCGCCTCTCACCCTGGCCCCAGGGGCGGAGGTACGACCAGGGCGCCTCTCACCCTGGCCCCAGGGGCGGAGGTACGACCAGGGCGCCTCTCACCCTGGCCCCAGGGGCGGAGGGACGACCAGGGGCGCCACTCACCCTCATTACACAAGATTTGTAAACATTATGCCGCCTCATTTAACATTTAACACGTTCCGCATTGTTGTTTGTGAATGGTTCTCCCTTAAATGGGTGTCCGTGGGATATATGCCCCTTAAGTGGGATATATAGCCCCATAAGTGGGATATATAGCCCCATAAGTGGGATATATATAGCCCCTTAAGTGGGATATATAGCCCCTTAAGTGGGATATATAGCCCCTTAAGTGGGATATATAGCCCATAAGTGGGATAAATAGCCCCATAAGTGGGATATATAGCCCCTTAAGTGGGATATATAGCCCCAAAAGTGAGATATAGCCCCATAAGTGGGATATATAGCCCCTTAAGTGGGATATATAGCCCCTTAAGTGGGATATATAGCCCCATAAGTGGGACATATAGCCCCATAAGTGGGATATATAGCCCCATAAGTGGGACATATAGCCCCATAAGTGGGATATATAGCCCCATAAGTGGGATAAATAGCCCCATAAGTGGGATATATAGCCCCATAAGTGGGATATATAGCCCCTTAAGTGGGATATATAGCCCCATAAGTGGGACATATAGCCCCATAAGTGGGATATATAGCCCCATAAGTGGGACATATAGCCCCATATGTGGGACATATAGCCCCATAAGTGGGATATATAGTCAGTTAAGTGGGATATATATCCCCATAAGTGGGATATATAGTCAGTTAAGTGGGATATATATCCCCATAAGTGGGATATATAGCCCCTTAAGTGGGATATATAGCCCCTTAAGTGGGATATATAGCCCCTTAAGTGGGACATATAGCCCCTTAAGTGGGATATATAGCCCCATAAGTGGGATATATAGCCCCATAAGTGGGATATATAGCCCCATAAGTGGGATATATAGCCCCATAAGTGGGACATATAGCCCCATAAGTGGGATATGTAGCCCCATAAGTGGGATAAATAGCCCCATAAGTGGGATATATAGCCCCATAAGTGGGATATATAGCCCATACGTGGGATATATAGCCCCTTAAGTGGGATATATATCCCCATAAGTGGGATATATATCCCCATAAGTGGGATATATAGCCCCATAAGTGGGATATATAGCCCCATAAGTGGGATATATAGCCCCTTAAGTGGGATATATAGCCCATAAGTAGGACATATAGCCCCATAAGTGGGATATATAGCCCATAAGTAGGACATATAGCCCCATAAGTAGGACATATAGCCCCATAAGTGGGATATATAGCCCCATAAGTAGGACATATAGCCCCATAAGTAGGACATATAGCCCCATAAGTAGGACATATAGCCCCATAAGTGGGACATATAACCCCATAAGTGGGACATATAGCCCCATAAGTAGGACATATAGCCCCATAAGTGGGATATATAGCCCCATAAGTAGGACATATAGCCCTATAAGTAGAACATATAGCCCCATAAGTAGGACATATAGCCCCATAAGTAGGACATATAGCCCCATAAGTAGGACATATAGCCCCATAAGTGGGATATATAGCCCCATAAGTAGGACATATAGCCCCTTAAGTGGGATATATAGCCCCATAAGTGGCATATGATACAGTTTCATAGTGTCTCTCGTGACTACCTTTACCTTATTATTTACATTACTACTCCTGAACTGTCATCCACACTGGTATTACATAGTAGTTACTGCTGGAATCTCGAACAAGCGAATGGTTACACGAGCCTGTCACTTGGATATTTCTTAAACAACCACTTGGAGTGTACTACTGACCAGGGAACAAGGGGAAGACACTAGTTCAGACTCACCTTAAGAAGTGGTTGAAGGGGGTAATGGGTAGTTAAGGGTACTAAGTCATTAGAGGTCAAAGGGGGGGTGGTAAACCCAATATTACTGAGACAGGTGTTTATGTAGGTGTTTTATCACGTTGTCAGGTATGTGATGCAGGTGTTCATTTACGTGAGTCAGGTATGTGATGCAGGTGTTCATTTACGTGTGTCAGGTTTGTGACGCAGGTGTTTCCACACGTGTGTCAGGTGTGTGATGCAGGTGTTCTCTCACGTGTGTCAGGTATGTGATGCAGGTGTTCCCTCACGTGTGTCAGGCATGTGATGCAGGTGTTCCCTCACGTGTCAGGTATATAATACAGGTGTTCCCACACGTGTGTCAGGTATGTGACACACGTGCTCCCTCACGTATGTCAGGTATGTGACGCAGGTGTTACCTCACGTGTGTCAGGTATGTGACACACGTGCTCCCTCACGTGTGTCAGGTATGTAATACAGGTGTTCCCACACGTGTGTCAGGTATGTGACACACGTGTTCCCTCACGTGTTTCAGGTATGTGACACAGGTGTTCCCTCACGTGTCAGGTATGTGACACAGGTGTTCCCACACGTGTCAGGTATATAATACAGGTGTTCCCACACGTGTGTCAGGTATGTGACACAGGTGTTCCCTCACGTGTCAGGTATATAATACAGGTGTTCCCACACGTGTTTCAGGTATGTGACACAGGTGTTCCCACACGTGTCAGGTATATAAATAAATAATTATATATATAATCCCATTAATTACTTGTTGAGTGAGTTAAATATTAGTGATGATCAAGGAGACTGTTGGTGTGTAAGATGTGTTTGTTGTGTTGCAGGGACAGCGAGCGTGACCTGGGCGAGTACCGGGATGCTGACCTGGGCTCCGGTTCCCTCTCCGGCAGCGGCTCCGGGGCA